GCTGGCCTTTGGACGGAGATCCTTCTTGCCATAGTGCAACCTCCATAGAGCCCCCAAGGGCTCCTTTTAAAGTCAGTTCTCACCTCTTCCAAGCTCAGGACTTAGGTCATTGGCCTGCTGCACTGGCCTGATCCCCAGTTGGCCCCTCCTCTCCGAGTCCGGTCACTGTGGCCTCTGGGGCTTCTGGAGTGTAGTGTCTTCTCGCTGCTCAGGACTTTTGCGCTGGTGTCTGTATTTGGGCTCCTAGGCTCTGGACACCATTTGGAACTCAGCTCAGGTTCTGAAGGAGCGATCACACTAAGCCTTCCTAAGTCACTAAACCTGGCCACTCCCCTGCTCCTCAGCCCCACCGCTGTGTATCCTGCTTGCTTTGTTACTCTCAGAAACTGTTCTATGCATCGTTTATATGTTGACTGACTTCTGGTTTGTCTTATGAGGTCAGGGCTCCCTCAAGACAGGGATGACTTTGTTCCCATGTGGCATATGGTGGCCGTTCAGTAAAAGGTAGAGGGATGGGTGAAGAGACCTGGGTACCATGTGGGGGCACAGTAGTCTGTGGGGAATTCCCAAAGGTAGCCCCTTAGGGAGACCCCAATAGTGGGCGGGTATCTCACAGCTCAGGTGGTTGGGCAGGGATGGCTGGTTGGAGGCTGTGATCAGGCACATGGTCTGGTGTCTATCCAGTCCGTTCCAGTGATTTCTACCCACCTGCCCAGGTCCAGGGACAGCCTGGGCTGATGGGGACTGGATCTGCCACCTTAGTTCCTGCCCTAGGTCACTTTGTGACACAGACACAGAGCTAACAATGACAATGCCTTCTCCTCTTTAACTCTGCCACTTTAGACTTTAAACACAAGCGTCAAGTGACAGCCTGCACAGCACGTTCACACGCTGGTACCTTAGCCAGAGATCAGCAACAGGCCACGTGCCCATTATAACTCGGTAGCTACGGCAGGGCCAGTGTGGGCCACATGGCAGATGTCAAATGGAAAGCAATGGGGGGACGATGACAACGACAAGATGAGCCCACCTGGATGGGCCTGGAGGGGGTGCCTGGTCTGGTCAGCAGGGGCTGCATCCAGGGAGGGGGCTGAGTGGCCAGAAGGCAGACCTGGCGGGGAGATTTGTGCAGCGCACCGTCCCACACCTTCGCGGGCCCCTACCAAGAGCATGTGCTAGCTCCTGGAGATGAAGATTGCCCTCTCCCCAGCACCAGTAACTAAGGCCCACCGCTGTGATCCCAACCACTTCCCATGTGCACCAAAGAACACAGCAGATTGAAAATGTGAGCCTGCCTTTACCTCTGCTGCTGGGTAAGAAATCTCATCACCAAGTCTTGCCTCTAGGAAAGCGGGTCTCATCTCCCTGCTGATACTAAATTGACGCTTGTGGTAATGGCAGAAGGTGCCACCTGGGCACTGGTACTACGAGAGGTGACTGAGGGATGCCTTCCAGCCCCCCCACAGTCCCACACAGAAAAGAATGCAGCCTGCATGCAAATTTCTCTCAATTAGACTCGCCCATCCTTGCTGCCGGTAGATTCAGATTCAGGCGTGTGGATCCCCACCATGACAGCCGCTGAAGGAGGCAGCCATGACTTTCCTTTTAGGCGGCTCTAAGGTTTTAGATCACACCTGGATGGAAAAGGAATATCGTCTCTGCAGGGCTCTGCTCTGGGACCACTCAGCTGTTGACATGGGATGGGCAAGAAGAGAGCTTCAAATCTCAAGAATGCAGAGCTCAGACCCCAGGACAAGAGAGGTGGCCTTCACTGGAGGCCCGGGAGACCTTCCAGAACAGAGGTGGGCACAAGCTGCTCTGTGAAACAGCCTCAGGAGCTGGGGCCACAGCCCAGGAGCCCGGGCTTCAGCAGAAAGACACGGGTCTATGCTGCATTTGGAGGTCTCAGCTTTATGCAGTGGGTGTTATGACTACAGTCCCTTGGCTCCATAGCCCCTGAGAGTGTGCACTCTCTTGTCTCTGCAGGTGTCAGGCTTTGGACTCCCTCTGTCCTCACACCCAACAGAACGGGCCCACTCCTCACCTGTGGAATGTGTGCATGTGTATAGGTGTGGGGCCCTGGGGACCAATCCCAGGGCTTTGCACAGGCTAGGCAAGTGCTTTCACTTGAGAGACAAAGGGCTGAGTTGGGACTTATTTTGGCAGAGGGGCTTTTGGGGACAATAGGACAGGCAAGTGGAGGGAGCCGCTGCCAGAGGAGCGAAGCCCGGTTTTCTGCGCTGGCTGAGAGGCCTGAGGGTGAGGCCTGGCCTTTGGGAGCTCATGCTGGACAGTGCTGTCCAGTGTAGAGAAGATGGCTGGGTGGCAGGAGCAGCTCCAGGAATAAGGAGGCTCTTGGTGCAATATTTTAAAATTAAGTTTTGACTACTATGCACAATGGCCATGACCCTAGCTGAACACATTCAGACCAACAGAAAGTGATGTGCTTACCAGTGACTGTATCAAAGAGACAGCATGTTTCTGTGGCAATAGCTGTGGCTTAGCTCTGAACTAAATTGTGTCCATGGAATACTCAGTGTTTTCAATTTGTAAAGAAACAAGCTTCTTCAAATACTGAGTTAAAATTGTTCAGTTAACACAATCCCAGAGAATCTAGACAACAATGAGGACCCTAAGAGAGGCATACACACATCTAATCTACATGGGAAGTAGAAAAAGACAAGATTTCCCGAGTAAATTTGGAGCATGGGAATCATGGGAGAGGGTTGAAAGGGAGGGGAGAGGGAGGGAAGGAGAGCAGAGAAAAACATATAGCTCAATAAAATCAATCCATAAAAAAATTAAAAATTAAGTTTTGAACTCTGATACCATGTGTAAGTATTATCTGGTTAAAAACCAATAAAGGTAAAAAAATTCAAGAAGTATTGAACAAGTGATGATCAAAGGAGCGCCAACTTTAGCTGGAAAAGCTGGTGATTCCATAGGTCGCCCGTGCACCGCTGTTCTGTGGACTCATTAAAGCTCGCATCGACAAACAGCGCACTGACGGGTCAAAATCGCATCAGTCAGTACTGGGAGACTGGAGGGGTGCAGCAGAGGGTCACGGCCCCACAGTGTGAGTGTGTCTCACTGGAGGGGTGCAGCAGAGGGTCACAGCCTGCAGTCTGAGTGTGGATTGTGGCTCACTGGGGGAGTGCAGCAGAGAGTCACAGCCTGCAGTGAGTGTGAGTGTGGATTGTGTCTCACTGGGGGAGTGCAGCAGAGGGTCACGGCCCGTGGTGTGAGTGTGTCTCACTGGAGGGGTGCAGCAGAGTGTCACAGCCCGCGGTGTGGGTGTGAGTGTGTCTCACTGGGGGAGTGCAGCAGAGAGTTACAGCCCGCAGTGAGTGTGAGTGTGGGTTGTGGCTCACTGGCCACAGGACCTGAGCCCTGGGTAACCGTGAGACCTCAGGATTGGCTTCCCACAGCTGGGGATGGCAGGCCTACAGGGCTGCAGTGAGGAGGCATAGCTACAACGCAGTGAGCATGAAGCAGGTATTGCAATGGTCAAAGAAGTGATGTAAACAGGACCTGCTGCTTTGCTGGGATGCTCAGTTCATGGTGGAACACACAGTCTCCATCTTACGCAGCCTTCCAGAGGCCGACACACAGGGTGGCTCTGTCTGTACTTCTAGTACTGGGTGCCACGTGGACGCGACCGACTGATACCAAGTGTCCTTGGTGGTTCTTTGGAGCTCAGTGAGGAGTAAGAAGCACTATCGTGTGGCATTGTGACCCATGGGCCTGTGCGAAGGTGTGGCATTCCTTGCAGCTTCTTTGGTGATCAAGCGTTTGTGCTTTCTTGTAGGGAAACCCTGTGTTGCACAAAGCGTCTCCACACGCCCTGGCATGGGAGGACTCTCCTCTGAGGTGTGATGTCTGCAGGACGGAGGAGCTTTCATGTCAGCCAGAAGCTAAGACCACACTTCCGAAGCCACAGCCACACACAATGAAAGAAGCCAGCACCGAATGTGCCCACCACATCTGTCATCATGGGCTCTTTATTCCCAGGAGCACCGTGACACTGGGCAGCCTGCTCTGGAGATGTCTGTCACAAGAGGTCAAAACCACACATCCAATGGGTCACAGCTGGGTAAGGTAGGGGGTCACCTGCTATCATTCCCTTGCCCCCCAGGCTCAGAACCTCTCAGGAGCTTAAAAAAACCAGCACCAGGCCATTCTCAGATTTTTGTTTTTTTCTTTGTGGTTTCTCAGTGTAGCCCTGGCTGTCCTGGAACTTGCTCTGTAGACCAGGCTGGCCTCAAATCAGAGATCCTCCTGCCTCTGCCTCCTGAGTGCTGGGATTAAAGGTATGCACCACCACCACCTGGCCACCTGAGACTACATGGCTTTTTTATCTGTGGGGACACTCAGTACCCCCACCCAGTATACGTCTCAGGCTATGCTTAGTACTGAGCGTGGGGCCGGGGGAGGGCACTTTAACCATTGAACACTTAAAATGAAGTCTAACATAGTAATTAACAACACGAAATCATTAATAACAAATTTCAACAGACTTCTAATGTAAATAAAGATGGTGACTATGGCCTCTGTCAAAGCGCCTCACTGTACCACACGTCCTCACAGGACATGTGACTGAGTGTAGACAATGGCTGAACACTAGCATTTCAGGTTAGCGCAGGCCCTCTTACAGGGGGCCAGAAGCCCTGTGGCCCGAGCTGGGGTGAGACCGCTATGGAGGGCAATATTCTGCCGCCACAGCCCCGAGAACCTGCAGTGCCGGCGTAGAGCGCTACTTGGGCTTTAGTGCACCAACATCTCCTACACAGGCCACGACAGCACGTCCCTCCTGTCACCATCGCCGCTCAGTGTCAAGTCAAATCTGGCTGGCCTACCATCTACATCCCCCACTCCCCATGAGAGGGGAGTCAGGGTGAGGCCAGCTCCGGCCTTCCTTAGGTAAGCCTATGCCTGCCTTGGAGTGGGGGGGGGGGGATGAGCTAAGGGGGAGGCTTTCACACAGAACGTCAGCACAAGGATACCAAAACTAGCTTTAATCTTTTTCAAGTCACACAAGTGTAAAACGGTTTCCAGGAGGGATCCAGGGGTCCGAGGCACACTCTGCCCAGTCTTCTAGAAGTTCTCCAACAAGCCCAGGATGCGCTTCTGCTCAGTCTCTCGGAACTCAGGGCTTCGGCCGTCCCCAATGTTCTCCGCGTATTCTAGGGAAGAAGGATAGGAGTTAGGCTGGACCATGTATGTGGTCCAGAGCTGTGTCTTTCCATACTGCTCCCAAGTCTCAGTGTGCAACAGGAGCCACTGGGGGCAGCGCTTTGCGGCAGCTGTAGCTGGAATCCCCAAGGCTCTCTGACTGTCCAGGCTCAAGTCTTCTTGGAGCACATCTGTCCTCAGCCTTCATGCACGGCATTCAGTACAAAGCTACCAGGCACTGATGTGCTAGAGCCTCTGGGGCCCTCACAGCAGTTCACGCTCCAGCCCCCGTATGGATGGATGTGACTCTTATACAAGGGCCCTGGGGAACATGTAAGGTCCCTTTGTTCTGCCACACGGGGACAGACAACATTCTTGGCCTCTCTCTCAGATGCCAAAGGCCAGTTTTGGTCTTGGACTTTCTGGTCTCCAGAATTTCAAGGGAATAGATTTCTTTCTTTATAATAAAGAATCCAGTTTCAAGTGTTTTGTTAGAGTAACACAAATAGCAGGAGAGGTGCCTGGTATGTAAGTTCCGCTCTGTGCGCTGCTGCGGGGGACATGATCAGCAGTATGACATCACGCGAGAACATCCTAGAAATGCAGGATCTCGTTCAGATGCTTTAAATAAGTGTGTGTGTGTGTGTGTGTGCACATGCCTGTGCACACATGCACGCTAAAATGCTTAGCTGGCTCAGGCAAGGCCCTGCATTCAGTCCCTAGTATAGCAAGAAGAAAAAAAGAGAGAGAGGGAGATGGGAATTTGCTTTTGCAATGCCTGCTTTCCAGATGGGGTATACATGATGGTTACCAGAAGCTGTGAGGGGAAGGGAGGCTTGCTGAAGACCTAAGAGACCAGTGGAGGCCTGCTCCAGGCAGCAAGCGTCAGATCCTGCTTGGTCGTCTGTGGGTAAGTGAAGAACTCTGGGGTCATAACCAGGCCATATACTCTGCTGTCCCAGTGTGACCATTCTACTGTTAATTCTCAATGGATACTCCAAGTCACTTCCTTGGAGAGACCTCAACCCAGATGCACAAAACAGAAAGCACACGTCTGTCGAGCCCCTTGCTGAGCTCTCTCTGTCAAGGCCATGAATGCCCTGTCCCCATAGCCACCTTAGCAGGTCTCTCAGTCAGGCTATGGCAGGCAAGGCAAGGCCAGCTCATAGGCCCTCATCCTGGAATGGTCACACTTACTGGGTGGCAGGTTCTATAGATGTGGTTGATTTAACCCCAGTGACCACAACCACAACCGCAGGCAGGCTGAAGGGCCAGTCCTGCTCAGAAGCAGCAACCGAGGATTCGAAGGAACGGAGGCAGCTTGCCTAAGTATGGGCTGCGAGAGGAGCTGGAATTCATCCAGAATCAATGTGAGCGGTGAAAAGAAGTAGGGGTGAGTCTGGTCCCCAAAGTGGCATTTGCTGACCCAAGCAACACCCTGCCCTGCCTGCTCCTAACCTCTGGGGAAAACTGCTCCTAGGGCTTCCCAAAGCTGCTCCACAGGGGCAGCCCTGGGGGCACTGCTGTGGCCAAGGTCCCAGTGGCCAGGACAGGCGTGGGGTGGACCGGCTGGGCCCCACTCCTCTGTCAGGTCATAGAGCAGCTCTCAGACACATATCCCACAGAGAGTCGGTCATACCCAGAAGCAGGTACAAGGACCCAGCCCAGGTTTCTCTACTGTCTCCTATAGCTGGCAGTTTGCACCCACAGTACAGCTGGGCCCCCAGCCTCCATCTTTGTTTCTGGAGTCTCGGTTGGAGCAGATCTCGGTGCTGGCTACTGCTGGTTATTTCAGCTGCTGCAGTGGTTGATAAATATTGAACAGATTCCTCCTAGAGGTCTTGGGAGAGTTCTCTTCTATGTGTGTGAAGAGGAGAGATGCTGAAGGGAGCACTCTGAGGTGGGGAAGAGGGTGACCAAGGACTGGGGAAAGGGAGGGGAGGAGGGGTGGACTAGAGAGAGGGAGACAGCATCAACTCCCTTCCCTACTTCCACAGCGTTTGAAATGCTCTTAGAATACAGGCTTTGATGGAGCTCAAACCCAGGCAGCAGGGCTGAACGCATAAATATTAAAGCAAACTTTAGACAGCAGGTTTACCACACAGACATGGAATACAAGCTGTTCTGTTTATGTTGAGAGGGAGAGAGAGGGGTAGGGAGGGCAGAGCAAAAGCTGTTTTCCAGGCAAGGGCCAGGGCCAGTGCACACAGCTCAGTCAGAGATTCAGGATGAGGAAAGATGGAGGGATAGGCAGGCCAGCATCATTCCTCAGACCAAGGCAGGTTCCTCAGGTCTACTGCACTTGCTTGAGAACACTGGGGCTGGTGGCATGCTTCAGCAGGACATTTTGCTGGGCCAGGGGAATTTAAGTAAACCTGAGAGAGGAAGCTGCTGCAGTTGCTGCTGGGCCTCACGACCGGCAAGCTTAGCTAGTGGGTAAGATAACCACTCGTCACTGTATGGAGGCTCTACTGGCCATGGCTGGTCCTTCAGTCTAGGCTGCTGCCAGCGCCAGGCCGAGGATGCAAGGACTCCATGCAATGAACACGCCCTCATACCTAGATACCCAGCCTCATAACGGGCACGAGTGATGTGGGACATGGCTGACAACACTGAACCCCAGCAGTCTTGGTGTCCTCATGTGCTCAGGGGACCACCCTGCACGCCAGGGCTTCTGGATGGCGAGAGGTAACACATGGCAAAGGTGTGGTTAAGCCTGGCCCGGTGTCACGGGTCTGTGAGCACAGCTGCTCAGGAGGCAGGGGGATCACAAATTCAAGATCTTCCTGGGCTACAGAGAAGACCCTGTCTCAAAAATTAAAATAAAGTAAAAACAAACCCCTAAAACCAAAACAACCGAATCCAAGAAGTGTGGCTAAGAGCAGGGAGAGGGTCAGTGCGGAACTCGCCCTGTGGAGTTGGGATTCTGGCCTGTCACAGAGCAGCCTGGAGATCCACTTTGGTACAGGGATCACTCTGCAGTGAACAGGCTCTGCTCGGTGCCAGGTATCAAAGATGGAGGCAGGAAGGAGCCCACAGTGGGGACTGCCCTTCTCAGCTCCTTCAAGGACCTGTGGTCTTCAGGCAGGTCTGCCTGTTTGGGGATGGTTGGACCCAGAGCGCCGAGTAAGCAGTCTGCAGAAAGCAGGGCTTTAATGAACCATCAATTATTCCCATGCTCTTGGCACCCCCAACAGAAAAGGAGGGAGGAAAACCATGAAAAAGGGGACTGAAAACCCTGGGAAAAGTCCCCTGCTGGGCTTGCCTCATCAGCGGTTTCCTGAGACCTCAAGGGATACATCAGCTGTCATCCTGCCAGCAAAACTTAGGAAATATGTAGGCCATAAAATCAAAGAAAAAAGCTCTCATCTAATTAGTATGTTAAAAAAAAAAGGGAAGCAACCCAAACTGAAAAACAAAATTAAAATCAAAGCAGACAGAGTGATGAGCTGGTCTCCTTTATGAGGCTTTGTTTCTTCACTCATTTGATGGTGAAGCAGGGGAGAGGCAGGGATAGAAAGGAGAGCAGGGCAGGCTTCATGGGGTGCACACAGTCAGCCCAAGTCACGAAAGCGTTCCTCACACTGCCAAGTGACTAGCCCTGCAGGTCCTGCTGTACCCTGTCTGGGGTTCATAGATGTGGCACAGGTTCTGGATCACAGGAAACAGCGATAGGCTCCTCCTGGCATGTGAGAGGCCAAGCAGGCCTGCAGGATGGGACTGAGACCCTTTTATTATATTGGTCAGCATCATGCTGCAGGCTTCCTCAATCAAATGATGGTGTCCAGTTCCCAGCCTGTGACTGTCACCTGAACACTAATGGCTTCAAATAATGCCCAAACCATCTTGTGATCTCTAGTGAGAAGTCTACTGACTGCTGGCAAACAAGGTGATGCAGTTACTACATGTACCCCAAACTCACTATGTACCCAAAGAATTAATAACCTGCCATAAAACTGCTGCCCCACCTGCTGGGACCTAGTCCAGACCACCGAAGCCTGTCCAATCTCTGGCCCCTGCTTCTCACCTGGGATACCCTTGGATGTCTGCTCCCCTAACCCCTATCAGACGAGGGCTCTAACGAGCAGTGTTGGAAACACCGGTGGGTTCCCATTACGAGCCCTGCTGCCCAGGAGGGAGGAGACACAGTGAACAGGGAGAACAGTGCCTTACATCATGGAGTTTCCATTTTAACACATGAGATAGACCAAATGAGTAAACAAACACATAAATAAAAACAATTACTGACTTGATAAAGGGCTTGGAAGGAATACAGATGGAGAGGAGGGGACAGAGTCACGACAGTCTGGAGGCAGAAGGGGCGGGACTCCCTGCAGTGCAGGCTGTGGCAAGGCTGAGAGAGGTGGGCATGAAAGGAGGGTGTGGGGTCTGGTCAGAGGTGGAGGGGAGGAAGCCACAGCTGAGAGCAGCTGCACAGGCCTCTCCCCTGCCCAGACCCTCAGCGAATACACTGTCAGCACCGAGGGTGAGCCGGTAGGATGGTGGCAGAGGTGGGCTCGAACAGGATGTTTTGAATGACCTGAGGCATCTGTATCAGTTCAGAAAGGAAAACATCCACCTACTACGTTTCAAGCCCCCACCAACACTTTTTCCTTCTGGGAAGCTCGCTGTTTTGACTAGAGGGATGGAGGTGCAGAGAGAAGCCTGAAAGCAAGACAGCAGAGCTGAGGGTAATCAAAAGCTCTAATTGCACAAGTGGGCGTTGGCAGTAAATGCCATTTAAAGGCTGGAGGTGCAGGCATCACGGCCCCCCCTCAGAGGAGGCTGGCTGACACTAGCCCAATTCACGGGGCTCTGATGCTGAAGGGAACACCCAGGGTCCACCTCTAACCCCTCCTCTTTGGAGAAAAGAGCAGATGCCAGGCCTTGCAACCGTTCATAGCAGAATGGATACAATAGGTACCATGCCCACAGTGTGGCACGGCTGTGCCAAGCATATGGCTTCCAGCCGAGCTTTCACTCACACTGTCCCTTCCTCCTGGAATGCCACTGTCTCAGCCCCACACACCAGCTTCAAGCCACTTCTCCTGTGAGGCCTCCCACAGGCCTTCAGCTGAGCCTCACTGATGACGATGATGAATCTAATTAACTAATGTTTTATGACCATCATTTATTGAGCCTATTGAGACTCAAAAAGCTCCCATCAACCACCACAGTCACCTCCTTCAACCCCATGGTGCGTGGAGTCTGAGTCAGAAGGCAGACCTGGAACTGGCCCCACAGCCTCCCTTCTTCTCTATGTGGACCTGCAAGGGGGCTAAGAGCAACTGAAAGGCAAAGCCTCCCAGTAGATGTAGCCCAATCCCCTACCCTAGCAGCGGGCAGATCAAGGTCCAGAGAGGAAAGTGGCTCTGTCTGTGCTTCCCAACCCACCAGGACCCAACTGTGAAGTTACTGGACTGACCACCTAAGCCCACCATGCTCAGGTAGTGCATAGGCGGCCCATGGTGCTGCTGCAGCCTGCGCTCAGTATAGACAGCCAGGCCTGTGACTGAGGCTCACTGGGTGACTACAGGCTTCTCCAGACCTAGACCCATGGGCACTTGGGAGATGTTACAGAAAATGGGGGAAGGAGGTATGTTCACCCTGAGTGCTCACTAAAAAGCCAGCAGCACCTCGCTCCATCTTCCCACGTCCCTCAGTGTGAGCAAAGGAAAAGGGGCAACGCTGGCAGCGGGGGGAGGCAAGCCGTGCTAGGATGCCACCTCGGAGTCACAGGCTGCATGGCTCCAGCTGCTTCTTGCCACGTCCTTGTTCTCTGCCCTACTGGGCAGTTGAGAACCACGTCCTTGTTTTCTGCTTTGTTTGGCTTTAGTGGGGGTGTCATGTCTGTGTGCATGCAGAGGACAGAGGGTGAATGAAGCTGGGTACCCTCTCGGTGAACCTGAACTGACTGATTCAGCTAGACCTGCTGGCCAGCAAGCTCCAGGGATCCTCCTGCCAACAGCTCCCAGTGTGTGCCAGGCCTTGTGCATGGGTGGTGGGGATCTGAACCCAAGACCTCACGCTATGTGTGGCAAGCCCTTTGTTGCTGAGCCACCTCCCCACCCTAGGTTTTAACAGCAGATAGTCCCGAGCCCTAGTGCTCCTTATCTGTGTTTACGGTGTGGAGCTGGAAGCAGACAGAGACACCAACAGGTTAATCGTCTGTGCTCGACACAGACGACCTGGCACAGTGAAGTGGAGAAGAGCTTGCCACTCTCCGTCCGGAATATCCAGGGCACGGGTTTCCAGGGACACTGATAGGGTCTGGCAAGCCCGAGTAGCCCCCAGAGATGTGACCCAGCAGCACCCAACTCACCCTTGATGATGTGCCTGACAATCTTGATGGAGCTGCCACGCATATTCAGGATCTGGTGAACCCGCTGGCGAATCTAATAAGGAAGGCAAAGAATGGGATGGGGAAGAAATCACCAGGGTACAGTGCCATCCTCACCCCACCCATAGGCGAAGGGACTACAGAGAGCGTTGAGCCAGGAAGTCCTCCTACCTGGGGCACGTTGGCATTGCAGATCTCGGCCATGATATAGCAGATGTGCTGGAGAATAAAGAGCCCGGCATCCAGGCGCCGCAGGTAGAACTCGTCCTCCATGTCATTGTCTATGATCTCCCCACGTCGCACTATGTCCTGAAAACAAGCAAGCACGGGATCAGAGCCAGATAGTGCTTGGACAGGCAAAGGATGAGCCTTCAGTCTGGTCACACTACACCAACAGCCACCACACAGAAGGAAAAGCCCTTGTCTCCACCTGCCCTTCTCCTGTCCTGAAGCATCTTTCTGGTATTCCTCATTTCACGTGGACCATGGAGGCAACAACAGGCAAGTTCAAAGATCACTTTCCTTTCTGATGACTTGAGGCCAAAATGATCTCATCCATTTGAATATTCTATCCCAGAAAAGCTGAGGGGCCATAGTCTAAGCTAGTATAGCTTTTTTCTTTTTTTAAACTCTAGTTCATGATTATTATTTTTGTTTGTTTGAAATAGGGTCTCTCTGTATCATGGATCTTGATATGTAGACCACGCTGGCCTTGAACTTACAGCATTCCATCTGCCTCTGCCTCTCTCATCCTAGGATTAAAGGTGTGCTTGGCTTGCCACACAGCATGAGAACCTGAGCTCAGGTCTCCAGTACCCAAGGAAAAAGCTAGCATGTGGGTGTGCGCTTGTAACTAGTGCTGGGGTGTGGAGGTGCAGGCACAAGATCCCTGAAGCCCACTAGTCAGATAGTCTGACTGGTGAGCTCCAGCTTCAGGAAGAGACTCTGTCTCAGAAAAAAAAGGTAGAGAGTGATTATAGTAGATGTGCCGACCTCTGACCCCGTACATGTATACACACATGCACTTGCCCCCCACACACACACAAGGGATGCCTGACACACCATACTTGCACAAGGGTATGGGGCACAGTGCCAGTGCAATGACACATGCAGGGAGCAGCGGTTCTCTTCTCACACAGCCATCGTTTCTCTGTAAAATCCTCTGCCTTACCTCCACCCTACTCCTCCCAGCCCATCCCTGCAGCCTTGCTGCCTGCACCCTTGACCTCAAGAAATGAACTGCTTCAGTGGACCCACACTTTCCTCTTCCTGCTGGGCCTCCAGAGGCAACTGCTATGTAAGACACACCTTCCTCCATTCTGAATCACAAGAACCTAGTCCCTTGCTCCGCACCCTGCCTCAGCACATATGCTCCCATGTGTCTGGGGCAAGATCCAACTTTCCCAGAGTTTCTCACAAGTCCACCACCCTCTACACCTCCTAAGTGACAACAGGCTCTCTCCCAGACCTGCCTGACCTCTTCCTCTGCAGCCAGTTCTTATTTTAAAAAAAACAAATCCCCAACAAAGAGGCTCCCAGAGACACCAGGCACAAAGCATCCCATCGCTATTAGCAGCTTCACCCATCACTAAAAAAAAAAAAAAAAACATCTAGAATAACAGCCTACCCCACCATCTGTGGACACGCAGCACGTCTAGAATAACAGCCTACCCCACCATCTGTGGACACGCAGCACGGACCACTGGGAGAATTCTCACCCCAGCTTGTCTCACGTTTCCCAACACGGACCTGAGTGCCTCTCAAGCCCGGACTGTTTTTAAGCAACCTCTCCCAGAAAGCCTTCCCTGATTATTTAAAGTTGGACCTGAGCCCCCGACAAGACCCCTCCCTGTACACCTCTGCCAAAGTCTGTGTCGTCATCCGTGTAGGCAGTGGATGCCAGGGTGGACTGTGACTCAGGAAGCAGGGTGAGGCTACAGTAAAAAGGCTTTGCTGCTGTGAGCCTGAGAGTGGAGAACATAGGACACACAGCGTGCACTTGACTTGTGGACCGGTTTAAGACAGCAAGTGCGGGGGCCACATCAGTGACGACAATGACCCATTTCCTAATTCCAGGGCTATTTTTATGGCTATGGTTCTTTCTGACAACACAGGCTCTTGTCACTGACAGAGCCCAGGGGACTGTGGAATGGGAAGGCTCAGCACAGGGCCGTCAATCTCCAGCAGGAACTCTTCAGAGACCACTTAGTCGCAGATAATGCACTTCTTTATTTACCCGGGGGGCCAGCCTGCAGCAACACAAGGCTACTTTTCATCTCGCCCCTAAAGGCCTGTCTACAAGGCGCAGAGGGCTGCAGGCTGGAGGCCCACTCTGTCTAGGCGTCACCACCACTAATCCTCGGTCTCATTTAGTAGCCAATTCCTTGGCAATCTGGCAATTGTTAATATTCACCTGGTAGTCAGAGCACCACGGAAGCCACAGTATAGAAAGAGCCTCATCCTCTTCTCACTCAGACCCTAACTTCCTGCTCTGGAGTTGGGGGGCACAGGAAGGAAATCAACTACTGGCTTCCACTCACAAAAGCGTTTGGTGCTCATACCATGCTTTTCCACACGGTCATAGAGTTTAAAGTCTTATTATACACACATGTCCTTATGAGCGAAATTAAAGGGGAGAGGAAAGGGATTATTAATCCCACTGTACAAATCAGAAACCAAGGCACACGGAGGTGAAATTGCTCATTATTACATAACTGCCCATTAACAGAATACAGACTCCCTGAGGATGGGACCCTTGTCTGATTCACCTCTGTGTGGAAATGATAACAGTGGAATTCAGGCCTTACTAGGTGTCTAGTAACAAGATTATTACCCTAAGCCAGGGGAAAAGAAAAGAAAATCAAAAGTTAAGGGGGAAGAAGAAAGGGAAGGAGGAGGCTTTTGGAAGGACCGGAATCTCTGTACTCATCCACCCCACACTTAACTGCGCCAGGTTCTGTGTGCTGAGCTGGAATCACAGAAGGAGACACGACAGTACACACATCTTTCTTTTTTTCCCCTTTGGCTTTCTGAGACAGAGATTCTTTGTGTAGCTCTGGCAGTACTAGAACTCACTCTGTAAACTAGGTTGGCCTTGAACTCAGAGATCCACCTGCCTCTGCCTCCCTAGTGCCACCACCACCCAACAATACTATACATTTCTGAGGCATCTACAGTGTAAGGAGCTTAACACACGGGAGCAAAGCACCTCTGAAGATAGCACGGTACAGGACACGAGCCCCGCATGCATCCTGTGGGAACCCAGAAGCTAGACAAGGCATAGGGAGCAGAGACAGGCAGACTCTGAGCTGGGATCTAATTGAATCTCATAGGACATTCTAGATACACAATAAAAATGTGGCTCTCTATGGTCTACATAATAAGACCTTTTCTCAAAAACAGACAGAATACTACAAAACAGACAGGCCAAAATGATGGGGAAGAGGAGTCCGCCTGCTGGGCTGGAGAGCGCAGTGGTGGCATGTCACACAAGGGTATAACGGTGGGAAGGACCAGGGGAGTGGATCCTGTGATGAGCTCCCAGTCATCTGCAGCTCACTTAGTTCTGATACATTACTATGTGGTAGGAACACAGAAGGCAGTATGAACAATGACCACCCACCCACTGAAGGGAGCAGCTGAGCCCCTGCAGGTGGCCTTTGGTGTCAGGCACAATCACTCCTTACTTCCCAGGGTAGGAGACACACTGGCTCAAGCAGGGCCACCTCCCAAGGCCAGGCTGGCAGCACTGGGACGCAGACCTGCAACTGTGCTCTCCACACAGGCGCTGATTTCAGAATAACAAACAAAGATGATAAAGAGTACAGGGCTCCGGAACGAGGCCGGGCCATCTGCTTGTGCTCCTCTCAATGGCCCAGTGCTCCAACAGCGCTTCCTGCTACAACTGCCCCTATAGCCTAACCTTCTAACTGGACAGGACACTGTGCTGCGGGCTTCTCCATGTTGCTTTCTAGAAAGCACAGACCCACGAGAGCAACACCGAGCTCTGCCTGCTCCTCTTCCCCTTTCCTTGGAGCATCCCCAACAGTAGTCCATCAATGTTCAATTCCAAACATACAGCTTTTCAGACTGGAGAGTGGAATTTTCAAATGCAGATCTCAGAGAAGATAACAGCTCATCCCCAAGAAAGGCAAGCCCATTGCCACACTGACCGCGCAGAGCTGAGACTGAGGCTGGCTTCTGAAGGTCAGGAGGCCACCCTAGCAGCTTTGGGAGTGCCTAGAAAGTGGTGTGCAGTGAGACTGATCTATCAGGATGGTACCTTACCTTATGTAGCCCCTTATAATCCAGGGCTGTGGGTTTGGGGACACAGAACACACACGTCTTCCCTGCTTAGGGGAAGCAAAAGAAGCAGTTTGTGTCACGCCACACAGGGAGGGAAAGTGACTGCTGTCAGCTGCAGCAGTGTTCCCTAAGCAAAGCCTTCCTTGCTGCGTGAGCCATTGGGTACAAGTAGCAGGTGCTGCCTTCAAATTCCAAATGGAAAATCTGAGACACATCATGTGACTATCGCGGCCCTACAGTGGGAGACAGTGTAGCAGGTTTCCCTGGTGCAAGGCCTTTCCTTCAGTCTTTTCACTTTCAGCTAAAGTGAAACAGTTTCCTGAGTGCCAGGCCCTGGATGAGTCACATTTGCTCCTCTGAACCCCGAGAGGTAAGAATTGACACTATATCCACGTCCCACTGGAGCCTCTGGTCTCCTCTGGCCACAGAGCGTGACTGAGCGAGTGGTGGAGCCAGGGCAGAGGGGCACACAAACTGCCTCCAAGCCTGTGTTTCCTAAGTCTTGGCATGGACCTGCCCCAGCATCAGCCAGTGAGCACCAGGGCACTGTGTTTAAGTTATGTGGGAACTAACGTACATCAGGAGTATTAAACACAGGGCTTCTTGGCCTGTCTTTCTCCCAGTAAAGAAACTTAAGAATGAGAGGAGGGCAGGGATGCACTCCAGCTGAAGAATGTGTGCCTCCCACCTCATGCTGATGGACCCCGGGTTTGATCCACAGCAACCCCATTGGGCTGGCATACAGCTGTAATCCCAGCACTTGGGAGGTGTAGGCAGGGGACCAGAAACTGAGGACCATCTTTGGCCATAGAGCAGACTTTAACGCTTGCTGGCAGTCATGGGACCCTGTAAAAGCATGGTGGGTGTGAGGGGTGTGTGGGGAAAATACAGCTAGACTAGAAAATTCCATATGCAATCTGAGACAGTGAGAAGACACTCTGATAGGTTTTGTTTTGTTCATTCCGTGCGAGAGGGCTGGGATAAAATTTTAGATGGTAATTGAG